GAGAGGGAGCGGCCGGAGCCATAGCACATGCACTAAACAAGAATGTTTGCCCAATAAAATGCGGCCGTGGAGCCCCGGTGCCCAGTGCTGCCGCCCCACTAGTACCCTGGAAAATTAGTAACAGTCCCAGCAATGCACAGCGGACACGCTGAGAGGTTTACGTGCCATACAACACGCATTAAATGCAGGATGAACAAAACCAAGACGTAGCACTCCTTTCCTCTGACCTTTGAATTTTTCTGTCAGTTCAGGATTTTCAGCAGAGAAAAATGGAATCAGTTCAGAGTTTCGGAAAGCTGATCAACATTACGGAGGTATATACTTATGGTTTTAGTTCAGTAACAAGCTTATATCAGAAATAGGGAATAAGATATTCCTTCTTCAGGGGGTGGGCAAGTGTAAATAGGGAATAAGGATAAAAAGAATGGACATATTTTTGTATAGGAAGATTTTGAGCTGGTTGATGAAAATGCGGTCTGATGGGGCCAGGCTAAAGCAAACTTCTGGGGATCTGGCGGGACTGGGGGGCTCAAAATTTGATGAGTAAGCCTTAGGAAGTACCAATGATGGATTTAGAGACCAAAAGTATCCACATTTTCTATTTTAAAAAGGAAAGCGGGGGTGGGGGGGAAGGGGGAGAAGGAGGAGGAAGAAATATGTATCCGTGACAATGAAAGGAGACCCTGGGGCCCAGACAATTGGAAAAACAGTAAACACATACGGCATTTACAATGAGCCATATACTTTTCAAATCACTTAATATTAACTAATTTAATCCTCCTAACAACTCTACAAAGAAGACACCATTTCAGAGAAGACTCCCTTTAACAGATGAACAAACCGAGGCCCAGAGCAGTTAAGTAACTCACTCGAGATCCCATAACCAGTAAGTGGTAGAGCTGAGATTTGAACTTGGGCAGCCTCACTCCGGAGTCTGCAGTTAGGGCCTTAATAAAAAATAGCTACTTTATTAAGATGGAATATAAGAGGTTACCAGGTATGTCGATCAAAACTTCGCAAAGATATTTGAAATACCACTTTTGGGATCAGGAGGGTTTAAAGCAGGCGATGGAAAGCTGTGTTAGAAGGCCAAGAGCATAGAAAGTCTTAGTGGCCAACAGAACCCATATTGTAAAGTGGTGTAATTAAATTTGGAAAATGTCAGTGTGACTTCACAATCTCAAGAAGACCCATATTGCCCCCAGTTCTGTCATGACTAGAACTGGCTTAACAGTAGGCGCAGAGCTTTAGCCATAACCAAATCCCATGCCCAAGTAGTTCTCAATGTAGTTCACCACTAAAATAAACCACGGCTCCATGGAAACAAGCCAATACTCTATGTTGAAACAAGACAAAAATGAGGATGAAAAGAATGAACCCAAAAGGATCAGGAGCCCTGCTACACAAGCAAAGAAGCTGATGGAGGAAAATTCTCCCTGGCTGAGTTGTGACAATTTGAGCATCAAAAAAAGGAGGAGGAGAAGGAAATTATTATGATGGAAAGAAGGTGAGTCTGAGAAATGCCTTGTGTTCAACAGTGTCTCTCAAAGGGAAAGTTCCTAGAAAGTGTACACGAAGATACTTTTTTAAAAAAATAATTCTGTTTCAACTTGGTCCTGACAATGTAGATTTATAGGGCAATTTTTTTTAAAGATTTTATTTATATATTTGACACAGAGAGAGATCACAAGTAGGCAGAGAGGCAGGCAGAGGGAGAGGGGAAATCAGGCTCCCTACTGAGCAGAGAACCCGATGTGGGGCTCGATCCCAGGATGCTGAGACCATGACCTGAGCTGAAGGCAGAGACCCAACCCTCTGAGCCACCCAGGTGCCCTGAAGATACTTTTAATAGGAAGAAGGGTGACCATAAAATGCTAGGTCACAATTTATGTTGATTTTTAAAACTAGGAAGCCTTAACATATAAGGTGATATTTCTTTTATAGAGTATTAATTGTATGTATGTTTATAAAATTTCTGTGTCAAGTAAGAAAGACTAACAAAAGGAATTATAAGTCAGGTCATCCCAGGACCTTAGGGCCCACTGAAGGACCGCTTGGCGTTGGTAATCCTACAACAACCAGGAGGAAAGAATGGCAGAGATCTACTGCCATTAGTGGTCACACACAGTTAACAAGGAACCAAGAGTCAGCAGTGTGTTTATACCATGATAAACTAGTCGGGCAGCCTAAAGAGGAAAGCCAAGTACTCGAACTCAACCTCTCATCTCCCAGAAGGTGAAATCTCTACCTGGCCCAACAAGGTAGAGTAAAATATTAATAAGGAATACGTAAGTTCTTAATAGTTCTGACAGCTTGGTCAATGCATCATGATAAGGGGTCCTGACTTTGAGTCACCTTGAAGCCACCTCATCCTGAGGGAACTCCCCCCCTCCCCCAAGAATCAGCACCCTCTGACCTTTCAGAAAAGCTGTTCTGTCACCTTTGGATCTGAAAGATCCCTGCTCCTGTCTGGAAAGTGTTACAGTGATGTCAACTCTGAGAGCACAGGGGCATAAGTAAAACAGCTTTGGCAAGATACAAAAAATAAGAACAGAAACAATGAAGAAATAAACTACACCCAAGATAGTTCATATTTTAGAGTAAGTTAAAGTATAAATATATTATTAAATCTTGTCATTATATACCTTATTTTGTGTGTGTTTCATCTGCTCTTTAAGTGGACGTAGGAAGTGATCAAAACGAATCGGCCATACTATGTGTGTTCATAGTGGGATTTAAAGAGCTTATGGGAATTCAATCAAACAAATTTATAATCAGGATTTAAGTGCTCAAGGAAAACTGGTTCTCAAAGTCTTGCTTGTTGGACGCACGCCACAGACGCTGCTGGCCCCGCCCATACCCTCTGGACACTCACCACTGCCTGACCTGCCACTTGTGACTCTCTGCCTGGGGGTTTCTTCTAACCACCAGACTGTACCCGGCTCTGAGGGCAGGCCATAGCTGTCACATCCCCGAGGAGCAAGGCTTCAACCGATGGCAGATGGGTGTTAGTGGATCAACGCCCAGCTCTCTGACCTTTAGCTAAGGACAACTCCGAGGCCAGTACGTCACGTCTCCCGGAGTCCCCCAACGTGCGTGAGCTGCGGATGCCCACAGTGGCAGCCTCCTCAGACACCATCCTCTTCCTGACTCACCCCCACCCCTCCTCTACTGGGGCTTCCTGGGATCACTCACCAGATCTACTCTGTGGACTAATATCCACATCTCAGGGTCTGGGCAAGAGAGGAGTTTCAGAACTCGAGCATTAAACAAACCTCCATGTGGAATGTTCTCTACACACAGGATCCCCTCGCGCTTTCATAATCTACTGCAGAAGAGCTGTCCTGAGGGGCAGAGCCAGGGGAGGGAGAGGGCTGATGGGCACTGCCTCTCCTGTCAGTACCTCCTTCATCTGTCCTGGACCCACAGGCTCCCCCAAGGACACCCCCTTTCTGGTCTCACTGGGGAAGAAGGTGTGATTGCTCCCACGGGTGGTTCTGATTTGGGAGGACATTCTTAGAAACCTCCATTCGTAAGGCTGGAGCTGCACCCAGGGACCACAGAGGGGAAGGGAGGAGGGAGACAGGGCAAGTGCCCATTTACTCAGCTGTCCCGACAACGAGACCCTTGAGCTTGAACCTACCGCCAGGTCCCTGTGGGCCATGACTTTTATAGGCAGCTCCCCAAACACAGAGCAAATGAAAAGGCGGTTCACTCTTCCCACAAACATGGCAATTAAGAGTTCAGCTTTGAATTCAGGCTTATCCATTTCTACCATCACCTTGGCCAGGCTCCTTCATGCCCCTGAACCTCAGTCTCTCCACCTATAAAGTGGGAGAGATACAATCTAATTCCTAGGGATGTCTCTTAAGAAATATGCCAGGCACTTTCTCTGCACTCTCGCTGCACCGTGACACACCTGCAGGTGCACCTACCATCCTGGTTCTGTGATTCTAAGAAACCTCCCCAGCATCACCCAGCTAATAAGAGGCAGATCCAGAGTTCAAACTTGGGCAAGTCTGATTCCACTCTTAGCCTCCAAGTTATACAAAGGATGTGAAAAGCAATTAATAGCGCCCAGTGACACCAGCTGCTTCACCAATGTTGTCTTTGTTGTCTCCATCCTTCCTCACTGTCTCCCAAGCTGTCTTCCTCGGGGAAGAACTATGTTGAGGCGCACAGACAAGGAGAGATTCATGAGGCTCAGAAGGAAGGGGCTCGATGCCAAGCTCTTAATGAAGAGCCTTCAGCGCGAATGGATTTTGGCTTCTGCTTCCATTAATACCTAAGCTCTTATGATTCTTCCAGCTCCATAATTTCCTTTTCTGGAACCTACACCAAATCTTCAAAATGACTTTCAAGAAAGCCAGAAAGCCAGGAAAATTAAATATCTTCAAAGTTTCAGGTGAAAGCGAGTCACCTCCAAACCTGTTGACTCAGTGTCACAGAGAAGTGGAGTCAGAACCCTGTCTCTCGGCCTGGTTCTGGCCTTACCCAAGCTGGGGGATCATGAGCACAGCCACCTGCCTCCTCTGGGTCTCCTATTCTTTATTTACTTTTTTTTTTTTTTTTTTTGCCTGTGCCTCTTTTTGAAACATTTGTTAATATAGAGACAACGATCCTTGTCTTGCCTTTCTTAAAGTTGCGGAGAAAACCACACGAGGAATGTCCGTGAAAATACCTCCCAAGTTATAAAGCCCTACATACATGCGGGAAATTGTCAGTGTTACTCAACAGCTTATCAGACTCACTAAGAAAATTCTGGAACAAGAAAAATGAAAGCCAAAAAGCAGAGGTGGACAGCAGGCTGGGATGAGGAGAGTTGGTGGTAAAGAAAAACTAGCTGTCAGAATCCCATTTTCAGTGCTGGCAGTTAACCTTCAATCAATTTTATAAGGCCAGGAAATAGCCATATTTTTAATTAAGTGTCGGCAGTAGGCTTGGCAACATAAAATCTAATGGTAGAGAAGACACCAACTTAAAGAAACACAGCTTCTTACCTCTCCTTCTAAGAAAGAGATCTTTTCCAAAAGCTGCAATATTAAGAGCTGTTTCTGCTGCACCTTCTTCTTCAACGATTCAATCTAGAAAGAAACAAATGAAGAACTGTTAATGAAAACTACACACAACTGTAGACACACAAGTTAATCAACCGGAAGAGACGTCTTTGGTTGTCCTCCAATTAGAACCCGCCCTTCGGTTCTCTGTGTCTCAAGGAACAGTGTTAACACGAGACGCTCCCTGGAACAGAGGGTTTGGTGGCCACATGATTTTGGAGTCGCGCCCCATTAGGTTTGTTTAACCTGACGTTTCCACACTGATTTTGCTGTGTAACCCTTATTAACATCCCATGTATGGGCTGGAGAGCATGCTCTGGGAGTACACGCACACACACACACACACACACACACACACATAAAATACTCAGCTTAAATTCGAGAGTCAGCCCGCATTTCAGACATTCAACGCTGTTATTCCTGTTAGTAGATTTATTCAGTTGGGTGTCAGAAGTTGTGGTCTGGGAGCAGGGTCACTGTCACTAAAAGTGCAAATGGAATTGAGAGGATCCAAGACTCACGTGGCTTGGGACAAAGACAGAGACTCAAGCTGGGCATTCGCCTTTGTTTTTACAACGTGGTCTATCTTAGCTACTCTAACTCTGCTTTTCATTCATGTCATGTTCCACAGACAAACTACAGATGCCCTAAGAGCAGGAACCGGGGTGCCCCATTCCAGGCTATGCCGCAGACAACAGGCAATCATGGGAACAGTGTGCGGGTTCAGTCAGTAACTGGTGATTTGGAAGAACACACTAATTTCTCAACAACCTGGTATATTCAATTTGTGCATTTGCAAAATCTTTAAAAAAAAAAAATCTGTCTCTGCAAAATGACACACAATCCCCCTTTAGAAGTGAATCTAGCCAGAGCTAGGAAAAGACAAAAGTACAATCACATTGCCCTTTGACCCAGCAGTCCCATTCCTAGAAATAGATCCCCAAAGACACATTGGCTAAACTACAAAATGACCTGGACAAAGGATTTTGGGCTTTTACAAGACACAAAGAAAACAGAACCCCATCAATCAATAAGTGGTTGGTTAAATAAACCATGGTTCATCATGACAACGGATGACTGTGAAGATCTCTAGAGCAGATAAGGTGTTTCATAAGAAATACATGGTACGCAAGCTTTAGTGTAAAACAGAGGAGGCCATCGGAATGCATACACACTTGCAAAAAGAAATTCTGCAAAGGTAAAAGAAACCTTAATTATTAAGAAATAGTTGCCAATAGGGAAAGAAGGAAATCAGAGGAAGAAGAAAAGACTTTTTGGTAATACCTTGTTACCTACATTTAATTTTGGAAGCACATTTTACAGATTCAAAAAAATAAATCTAAACCAAAAAAAAAAAAAAAAGCGAACCTGAAAACTTGAAAATGCATCAAAATAAAGGAGCTCAACTATATATCCAGTTGGTGAAAAGAACTCAAGTGTTGTTTGAACAAGCTAATTTGACTCTGTTTTTAGTGAGCTGTATTCTAAAAACAAACAGAACTGCAAAGAAATCTCTTATTCACTAGGAAAACTGTTGGTAATAATGTTGGTATTGTTGTTTTGTGTTGTTTTGAAACTATTTGAAATATTGCAGTATAATAATGTTTGGAACCAAGGTTTTTAGTGTAAAAGAAGGAAATACAAGTGTGAAATCAAAGAAATAAAAAAAAGTTTTGTTAAGTTTGAAATGAAAATATTAGTATGAACTCATAAGTAATATTTTATTTTCCTCTGTTAAGTATGCATTTCTTAATTCTGTCCACTGAGGAAACTTAGAAATTTTAACAATAAACACATAATGTATCCAGATTGTGGCATCGAAATACTAACCCTCACCAACCAAACACAGGTCATCTTCGAGAAACGGCTCATTTCAAGGGGTAAAATTTTCTAGGGGAACCCAAGACACCTTGTGCCTAAAAACAAATGCATGAAGGATCTCCCTTGGGCTAAGGATTACAATTTTAGCATCAAAAAGAATAACGAATGTAATTGAGTAAAACACATGGAATAAATACGTTTTTAAAACCCTGAGTATGTTATGAATCTTCAAAAACCAAAACCAACAGCAATGACTAGGGAATGACTAGGGAACCAACTTCTTACTTAGAAACTTGGCAACTTAGAGGCAGACTTAAAGGCAGGTAGCCTGCCTTTTTTGTACAAACTGCATTTTGAGATTACTAAGAAGTCCTAGGTAATGAGGGAAAGAGTTTTATTTTTCAGAAGAATACCAGTGAATAAATGGGGAAAGGATGATAGATGTAGAAAATCACCATTGTGCAATCCCTAGGAAGAAAGTGGCTCATTGTATTAGATGAATTAACAGATGAACCAGTCAGAGGCAAAGCTAAGGAAGAACTTTACAACTGCGTTTTGGGCTGTCCCCATCTGAGTCCGTGATCGGCCTCAGCATCACCCAAAGGGGGTCAATCAGACATGAAGACAGAGTAAATCGCACAGCACCAGGAAGTGTGCTTCCTCCCCACGCCAGCCCCCAAGAAAGGGAAAACTGAATCTCACCGTGTGTTAGAGCTAATGAACAAAAAGTCAATTCCCGAACACAGAAACATTTATAGGACAACTGACACAGCTCCTGCAATGTCGCTGGGTGCGGGAAACTCAGCAGGGAAGGAGGATACACAGGGAGAAGCCTGTTCTAGATTAAAAGACTCTAGAAACATAACCACCAAACAAATGACCTTCTCTGGATACTGACTGAAGCAAGGCTTCAGTAAAAAGGCCATTTTAAAGACATTCCAGAAAATTTTAGGACACATGGGTATTATTGCATGATACCAAGGAATTATCATTAACTTTGTACGGTGTGACAATAGCATCATGTTTATATAAGAAAAAGTATGTATGTTTTAGAGCTGGATGGTGAGGTGTATAGGAAACAGAAGCAGGATGTCTGGGATTTGGTTTAAAATGACTGCATGAAGGGGAAAAAGAGGAAAAGAAGGAGCAAATACAGCAAAGAGAGCCAAGTTTTGCTGTTTGTTGAATCTGGACATGAGTCTAGGGGGCTTCATCGATCAGTCTCTCTGTCCTGAGTGCATCTGACATTTTCATGATAAAATATTTTAAATTCCACCTGGTGCCAAAAAATACAATCCTCCCACACAAAAAGTAAGCCATAGAAAACAGAATATAATAAGAAACACATTTAAGAAAAACTGTCCAATGTTGATAATAACTAAAGAAATTATAATTAAAAACAGTAACAAGTTACCCTTTAATAACGATTGAATGCGCCCAAAACTACCGGCTAAAGAAATCAGCACTGAAAGAGCTGGGAGGGGCAGCCCTTCTCGTGTGTTGCAGGTGGCATTGTAAATTAGAATGACCCTTTGGGCAATTTAGCAATAAATATTAAGAGCCATAAAGCTGTTCATACCCTTTGACCCACTAATCCCACTCCTGGGAATTTATCCTAAGGATATAATTCAGACATAGGAAAAAAGCTATATATACAAAGATGTTCTTGCTCCTATTATTTATAACAGAAACTGGAAATAACCTTAACGTCCAGCACTAAGGCACAGGGTGGTACATTATGGAATAACAATTTGATGGAGCATATGACACAGACACTGCAAACACACTGCCAAATGTAAAAGTGTTTACGAAAATCCTCAAGGGATAAAAACAAAATAAAACAAGAAACAAAAACCAAAGCTTGCAACGATCAAAAGTAAAAGCTGGAAGTTAGCTCAACAAAATCATACTGAAGTTGCTGTAGAATTACGGGCAAAAGGAAAGTTTCTTTTTCTTTAAATTTCCTTCAGTGTTTTAGGAATAGTTTTCAAAAAATCGTTCTTACGGTGTTCCTCTTTCATTCCTTCCTATAGTATTAAGACCTTTTAAAAAACTGATTTGAATTCTTTAAATGAGAGGCAAGATGGGTACTGAAATTAGCTACAATATTCCAAGGAGGTCTGGGTAAATTTCATCAATTAACATAAAAAGGGACCTCAAGTACACTTACTTCACTCTCTCTGAAGTAATCAGAGTGGTTGGTGAGTCCAGGGAAGCAAGAGATGTGATTGAAGGCACTCTAATGGGCAGTTCATAGGAAGATACTGAGGATTTTCACTTAAAAATGGAGGAGATACAAGGCAGATATGTCGTCTGGAGGATGTGGAGAGAAGGCAATTCTGTGAGTTCTGAGAGAACAGAGGGCTGATGCTGGAGCAAACAGGCCCTGCCATCTGGGGAGACAGAACGGCTATGGGAAGGATTTGGGGGGATGCTGAAGCTTCTGCTGACAAGTCTTGCCTTTCAGCAACTGAAGCTTCGAGAAGCAATCGTACTCTTGGGCTGAGGGAATGCTGGGCCCACGCGTTGGCTTTCATCCTTGAGCGTTCCTTACAGGAGCAGCTTCTGCAGGGGTTGACATGTTCGGATTAGAGAGAAAAGGACACCAAGGATGGCAGGCATGGCATGCCTCGGCCCTCCTGTCCTACAAGGGTGTCAACTCAGAATCCCAACCAGCCCAACCCACGCTACTTCCTAAGAGACACCCATCATGAGGCGCTATCTCTAAGTCACACATCTGAGGGGTAAGTGGTGTTATTTCTGACTGCTGACTTCAAAGTGCCTTCAAATATTGTCTCCTATAGAGCCCAGCACATGATAAACACTCAAAATCTAGCTACTACTGTGTTACTGCTGGCATTCCTCCCCACTTAGACTGGGAGCTTGAGAGTGAAGACCTTGGTCATCTTTCTATTCTCAAATAATGAATGAATGAATCACTGACTCCATCCATCCATCTCTCAACAGTCTATCCCTTAGACTCCAGGGGCAAAATTGTCTGGAAGAGACTCTTGGAGGCCCTGATGGACCAAGACGAATGTACCCCCCAAAGCACCCCCCAAAATCAGGGGCCACTCCAAAATCCAGGATACCATGCAGCTGGCATGCAATTTCTGCTCTTTTCCATATACTGAAGTCTGTAAATTTGACCTTGAAAAGCTTTGTGTCTTCTTCACGAAGCTGCATTTTGGTCCAGCTGTCACCAG